CTACCCCCAGGAATCCCGCCCTCAAGCCATTCAGCGACCCCAGCCTCCAAGTAGCTAGATTACAGACGTGCGCCACTACGCCCGGCTAATTATTTTATGTGAAAATTTAACTACTGACTGGTGGACAGCCACACTTTAAAAGACCGGAAGTCAAAATCAGCATTGTACTTCCGGTAAGCGTAAATACAAAATGGCGGACTCACTTAGCTTAATTCTTACGAAAATCTTCGAAATAACATCGAAACAACAACAACTCGAATTTAATCTTTTAGAATATACCTTTTTTCTTAAACTTGTAGCTGTTTCTCTCCATGATAATATGGAAAATAATTTATATATCGCCGATTTCATGGCAAAAATTCAGTGATTTGCATCACCGCAGCGCCTACCAATTTTTCTGAGTCTCTCGACTGGTAAGTAAAATCAAGGTCTTTTCCAGAGGGTCCTTTATCCAACGCTACAGCGAGCAAATGATCTGCTGGAATAACATGCCCTGAGAAGATAAAAAGAGAATGCTCTTAGTCCATAATAAATGTTACAGCTTTGCTTCAATACCAAAAGGCACAATGTCGTATTCTAAGGAAAATTCAATTGACTTACCACAGGAAAATTCCACTATATTGTCACCGGAGAGTCCAGCGCAAGTAAAGAGTTGATCTTTAAAATCTGACATCTACGACGAATAAGACAGATGTTATGCCTTGTTAAATTACAATTTCGTCATTGACAAATAAGTGATATAAAAAATTTTTGTCTCCGTTGTAACCTAGAAAGAATATCAGGGAGCTGGCTACTTCAGTTGAAATAAGTAGAACTGAGGGGCAGTTTCACATGTAACTAACTTCCACTGAGTTCATCAACCAACCTAAATTTTGATCTTTTTCCTTTTTCAAAATGAAGAAAATTTCAGATATTGATTTTACAGTTAATTGGAAATATAGTCCAACAGCAGGAATCTAAACCTGGTAATGATCATGTTGACCCTCTGAATGACCAAAAAGAAAAATTTCTCTTACCATAATAATATTTTTTGAAGCAGGAAGATGATAATAACATAAAAAAAAACATCAATTATGAGATATAATTTGTTTTAACACAAATTGTCAGAGATGGAATAGAATAGAGTAGATATAGTTACTTGGTGATCATTTCCTTTATTCTTGTAACCTTATTGTGTGATTCTGGGGTGATATGGTAAGGAGAAATTAGGTACTAGTCACTCTTAAGATCAAAAAGGCACAGCAAGGATACCACAGTTAATTACCGGTTGCATTGTTCCCCCTGCAACAACAACTGCTCTGGCTTCTTTGACGATAGTTGTGAAGTGGACTGCAGGGTTCAAAAGGAGAAACTTCAGACTGGAGTTACTGGGTCGCTCTGGTGGGAGAAAATATAAAGTGCGCAGGCAATCTAGGTAAGTAAAGTACACTTAAACAGTAAAACAACAATCACTATTGTCTTCAGTCACATTGAAAGCTGTCACAAAGTACCCTTAACATTTGAAATCCTATGATCTAACAAGAAATTCTCCTGTGAAGCTGTTATATGTTTTCTTGTAAGCTAGCCAAGAGAATTTGGTATTTGATCAAGGTCACTACTGCAATCCCCAGCTCATGCGTTTGTCTACATTTTCCCACAATCCACTTCCTGGACAAAGTATTGAAATTGTGAGGAGAGAGTGCTGGTTTATTACCCCTGGAATAAAAAAAATAGGGAACCCTTTGCCCAAGGGGATTACTTGAAAATGTTTGCTTCCCTTCAAATCAGGCTGAATTGAAGCAGAAAACCAGAACAACTTGGTGTCTGATACTGAGCAAAGAAAAAATCTTACCCTGCTTGTTAACAACAATCCTTCCATCTTTGTCAGCATTTGTGAGTGCTTCCAAAAAGCTCTCAATGATTTGAAGAGGTGAATTACTACTTTGATACAATCCATCTTCATCTCCTGCAGTAAATCCTATTAAATCATGATACAATTAAATTGTAGGGTAAATTTCCCTCAATAATGTATTCCCTTATTTAAGCACAACAAGTAAAAGAAATTTTAAAGCAGTAGTCAGGGCAATCATTTCACCTGTTGAATTTTCAAAAATTCTAAATGATTTCAGGCAGAAGAGGAGGCTAGAGGCTGTAAATCTTAGCAGTTACCATCTTAAAAGGAAAACACTGCAATCAAACTATGTATCAAACTATATTAAGAAGAAAGTGTTCAAAGTGAGAGTTTTACACAAATCTTCTTTGTTTAGCAGAGGGGTCTAAACATTTATAGCATCATGCTCAACAAAACTCCACAGATGAACTTGCAGAAAAACTGTTGTACTGTTCTTTCAGAGACAAACAAAATTTTACCCTTTTTCATATCATTATTATCTCTATATTTATGCCACTCAAAGTATATTTCTTCATTCTACAACAGCATGATTGTGCGCTAACCTGTTCCCACTTGTACAGAATGATACTTGTCAACAAATCCATTCAGCTTAAAAAAAACAAAGTTGAGTAAATTATCCATGTCAAACCTTGATTAAGTCATTCTGGAAGGTCACATATAATATTGTGAAATATCTAAAGAGGAATTATTTTAGAACTTACCTTTTTAGAAATCATGCTCTTCTCACAGTATCTTTTAATCTGAAAGGAGTATTAATTCAAGTATTGTGTTAGGCTAAGAATGAGATCATCCTGAACTGAATAAATACACCCTATAGCATACAAGTTTAAGGAAATGGATTGGACCTGTGCTCCAGAAGCCTGAGAAAAATATCACATGTACTGCTCTCAAATAGAAATCTCAAGGTTCTAGAAGAAGGCGCATAGGGCCAGAGCAGTCCAGGAGGCAAAGTGTGCAAGAGGAACTCACGAAACAGAACATCACCTCAGGGGAGGCAAAGAGAGGTGCCAAAAACAGAATCCAGAGGAGGTTCACAGTCGATGCCATATGCTCCCCAGCAAGGACGTAAATGGCCTAATCTAATGAACTAAGTAAGTAGCTATACTTTTAATTAGTTATGTGTACTGTACCTTAAAAAGGTTCACATTATCCATTTGGGCAGCAAAAAGGAAATCATTGATTGTTAATAGCTTCACATCTGTTAATTAGGACAAGCAGATAACAAAAATAAAGATTCATAATAATTTCATCACAACAAAATACTACATGTAATGATTGTAATAATTATAATCATGACCTTGAAGAAAGGTCTTACATTCCATGTAAAATTAAATATCATGGTTCATCAAACCCATATTTGCAAGGATATTTTGAAAGGGAAAAAAAGAGAAAGAAAGAAAGCTATTGTACAAGATGAATAGATGGCTGAAGGCACAATGAGGGACATCCTTGGCCGAATGTAGGGAGAGGGTCCAATATAGAGACAAAATGACGTAGCCTGCAGTTCATTCATCTTTTTAGGGCAAGTTCATTGACAGTGCAAGCTTGCAATCATTTATTTGACCCCCCAATTCCAATTTAAAGTTGTCGTGGACAGTTGGGGACCCACCCCCTCCTCTTGCCTTCCTTTTGACCCTCACTCACCCCCCTGGTACAAATTTATCTCTCATCTCAGCCTTCCTCTTCTGTAAAAATCAAAGATGCCAGTGATGATTTTCACCATTAAAATACTGAGCACTCTTTCCATAAAATTACACCTGCTCTGCAGGCTAAGACAGATTAGGCAATGTTTCATGGCAACCCCTGGGGAGAGAACTCACAAGGGACAAGCTTCCTGTCTAAGGTGAAGAAAAATTGAATAACATTCCTAAAACATAACAAACATCACTCTAAAATTAAGAACCTTGCTTTCTGTGGTCTTTTGTACCCAATTCATTAGCACTAGAGAATGATTCTGGCTTCCTTTGCTCTTTCCCTGCAAGAAATTTGAAAATTGTCAATGTTGAAGATACCTTGGCAAGCTCTCTTTTGGAGTCATAGTCTCTTCATCAGCCTATTAACAGATATCACATATGAAAGATATTACAATGATCACCAGGACTAAAGAGAGGATGTCAAGTTTGAACATAGCATACGGATGTCATTTTTCCTGTCATGATGATTTCTAGTTCTCTTCTAATTCAAGTTGTCTGTATGAGGTATTTCCATAAATTAATCATTTCTCTCCAAAGATCTCATTAACAAATCTCTTTACTGTCTACTATACAATTAATGATGTTAATTCAGAGAATTTGGTATTGGGTTAAACTGAAACCCACCATGCTTTGAGTTCCACGATAAAACTTACCTCCTAAACAGTTTAGGAAACACATCAAGACATACAGTAGTTGCTGAATATAGAACAAGTTCTTTGCCTTTAACCTTGTCCTGGTTAAAAAATTTGAAATTAAAAGGGGATATTTAGGGAGATGTTAAATTAACCAAAAGTACAAAAAATGTGTGGGAATTAACAGTTTAAAATATTTGTTTCCCTGTCCATTCTTCTCCAGCTTATCTTTGATGTCAGTAAGAATTTCTAAGCTTGTTACCTAAATCAGTTTTCAAAATGTTTCACTGACCTATAGCGATCCTGGTACTGGGTCAACTGAGAGTGAGTGCACAAAATCTGTAACATGATACAAAACAATAAGGAGTGTATAGAATATGATTAGAGCTATGCCAATTCTTCTCTAAGATTGTTTTCTCTTACTCAGTAAGAGTACTGCTTATTGGCGAAATTTAGTTTAAAGTATAACAAACATGTTATCTTGTGTTAAATGTTCAATAAAATTATTCAATTTTTATAAGAAATACAACTGGTATTGATTTGCTTTTAATTCTTTAACTCCTGGGAGTGATAAACATGTTATTTCTCCCAATAATATTCATACATTATCTGACAAACAGGTAAGGAGAATAATCAAACTTATCAGGTAGAAGTTGTTATCTTGATCTAACACCAAATTCTTGCAACAAATTTACAAGGAAATGTCACAGTGTTGCAGCTAGAGGGGAGAATTAACATTCAGATCGTGGGAGTGAAGGGGTTTGGTCAGTTCATCATACCTGTGAACCAGTGATTTCTACACTGTGTACACTACTTATTGTGTCAATCAAATTATGCGCTTCATCGACAATAACCACATTTCCATCAAGCTTTATCCCACAGGCTTCCCTTGTAGACTTGTGAAGAAGGATGTTATATGGCAGAACTACGAGCTAGAGTTGGAGAGAAAATTAGGCAGAATTAATTATTTGTAGACAAGAATACATTAAATTAATATGAAAGCGATCTTCGCAGTAATGAACACTACTTAAGCAGTGGCGAAAATAAGGCCTGAAAAAAATTCAGGCCTGCACAGGATTTGAACCCATGACCTCAGCAATACTGGTGCAGTACTTTACTAACTGAGCTGATAAGCCAACTGGGGGCTGGTCATTATGTCAGTTTGAAATAAACCCTTGAAGTGATGATAGATGAGTTTAATTTTCTGAACCAATAACACAGAGATATACAGCAAAACTAAAGAAATCTTAGATCACTTTCTTAACTCTTACTATTACCTGCGCAGCAGGAATAGCTAATCTTGTCCCATAATAAGGACATGCATGAAGTTCTTCACCGACAGAAACAAGCTGTTCAATGTCTTTTATGTCCACCTAAGAAAGGAAGAAATTTTGTCCACAGTTTGAAACAGGTTCTTAAACTTATTCAAGATGATTTTTTTAAAGTAAAATAGCTGCAATAGGAAAAAGCATTCTTGCAGGCCAATATTTCTGTTTACAAGTGTAGAGCCTCAGTGCTCATTCTTTCCCTCCATTCTACTTTATTAACCCTTTCCACCCTAACATCAGTAACTATATTCTCTATAATCCTCCCTAGACAATTCCTTTGGCACTGAAAAAGAGAATTAGTTTAGCAATCAAAAGTTTTGTTAGGTTGGCAACCATTTCTGTTATTCTCATAAACTTCATGAATGATTCAGCAGTATTACTGTTGGGAGAAATTACATGCTGGTCACTCATAGGGATTATTAAAGGGTTAACTATTTGAAAGGTACATTGTACCATTAATAGCTGGAAAAACTAATTGAAAATTTTCTCCTAAGAGTTTTTTATTTGCAATTAAGCAAGGACCTAACCAGGAGATGGTCCCTAAATTTCTGCAGCTGCTGGTACATGTAGAATGGACATCCATTTGTAACTTTTTTCTTCTTTGAAGCTTTCTCTCCATCAGTTTTTTTCTTCTCTGTTAAAAAATAAATAAATTTAAAAAGAGTTCTCTCCCAGTTTTATTGCAAACATACACCTTTTCTGCAAACATGACAAATAACTTCTTGCAGTAAGAAAATACAAGACCAGTATAAATATTAGCACATGCAGTCTCCTGCTTTAGGTCAGGTTTCCCACAAAATGGGTTAGAATCCATTTATAATCATTGATAAAGAGATACATTGTTAAAGCTTACTCCCAGGAGTGACCAGCTAGGACAGAACTTTTCCTTTCCATATCAAACTTAGTTCAATATCAGACATACAGGTGACAAGAAAAAGAAAAGTATAAATCAATTAAGGGATGATTAGTTGATCCCATACCAAATCATAACTCAGAACTAACATCATAATAACTGCACAGCAGACAAATCTTGGGAGTGAAAGGAATCAAGTGTCTTGTCTTGGAACACAGTGCACTGATCCAGCCAAGTTGCAAGTATGCTCCTTTCAATCTGAAGTCCACTGCTACCACCTTTAGGCAAGCATTTCCCCTGCATCCTCATTTTATATTCTTAAATTAATCATTTTTAAAAAGATAATGCTCTGTAAAACATTCTCCACATAAAATTTGGAAATTGATTTTCAAACTATAACCAATGATCATGTTTAATTCCTTGCCAGGAAAGAGTATTTTTGAATAGAAAAAAAAACTTGTCACTTAACATTTAGGTTGCAAACAGTGCTCTATTTCCCACCCCACCCCCCTCTACAGACTTACCTTTGTTTTTCTTTTGAAGTTCCAAACACCTATCATTAATTCTGTTTATATTCTTAAGGCTTTTAACATCTTCATTAATACAAAGATTCTGTCTGGATCCAAGAGAGACAACCCGTGTACTGTCACTGAATGGACTCTTTTGCACTTCCCTAACAAATTGTGTCAATTGGGAGTGTGTTCTACTGCAATAAAATATCTGAAAAAAAAAGTAAAACAATCTAAGAGAAATTTAGAGTTGTCATTATTAGTTGAATGAATGAATGAATATGTATTTATATACCGCACATATCACATACTGTCTCAAGGTAGTTTACAATTCTAACTGAGTGAAAATAGTTTTTAACACTTTGACCCTTACCGATGAATAGCATCTTATTTCTTCATACAATATCACCCCTGAATAACCCAATAAGTCATTAAGGAAATCATTACCAACTAAAAAGAACTTGATTTTTTTAACAAATTTTCCTTCCTAGCACCTTAGGAAATATATAAAGAATAGTATGGAGAATATGCATACTGAAATTAGAGTGTAATCCATTCAGTCTGTTGATTATTTCTCATGCAGTACCTTTAAACAGTGGGGCTCTTCATTGTTATCCTCATCTACCTGATCTGATCTACAAAAATAAAAATGAAATCCCTTACGTGTTACTTTTCCTCAGGTGAGCAAACTCTTACTTTTGCCATCAACAGATAAGAAAATTTTAAGAATGATCTAATTGTGACTGTTTTACTATAATAGGCCATGTTACAGTTGTTTACTTTGTCGCCAAACCTATGATTTGGAGTGAAGCTGAATGTGACCTGGTTGTAATAGGGACCAATATCTAGTTAACATGATAACAAAGTAATTTATATTTGAAAAGCAGCAAGGTTTGTATCATAACAAGGTCATCCTTAGCCACATTCCCGTTCAAGGCATGCAACTGTAAAATGGACTATTCTAAAAACAAATTCTTACCCAGGCTCTTCTCCGTCACTTTGATATTCCATTAGTACAATATCTGTATCAGGATCCTCTTCTATGGTTTTCCCAAGGACTTCATCAATTTCACTGGTAATTTTGTTCTCTATTTCAGAGCCATCGTGTCCAAAATTATTGACCTCACCATCACTATGCTAAGAAATAAAATTAGACAACAAGCTCCAATCATTAAAATATCTGAGTCCAGTATGGAAAATTGAACTTCAAACTTTCAGAATTTGTTGTTGAATAACTCTTTCATGAACATTACCCTCTTCCAATCACACAGACCTTTCTCTTTCCAGTTTTGAATGCACATGCTGGTTTAAGTTCACTCTTGAGTTTCTGAAGCTGTGCTCTTTGCTTTTCCAACCTCTCTCTTTCCTCCTAAAAATTTGAGTAAAATAGCAGGAGTTAAGTTAACTTTGTGTAATACATTTATATATATGTTAATTGTGGTTTAATTTTATCCTTGGATCATATTTTATTTTCCTTTGTTTCAAACTCATTAACATACATTACAATACCCAAAAACAAAAGAAGATAAAATTTGAACCAAGGATAAAATTGAACCACAACATTACAACACACTTATTTATTTATTATAAGTTAAATAGATATTTAATGAATTCCATTCAAACAAATCAAAAGTACCTTTACTCTGTCTTCTTTTTCTTGAGTAGCCTGCTTCTCCGCAAATTCCATCACCCAATCTGGCATTGTAGCTTTAGTACATTCAAATGAAAAAATAAATAGAAAATTATTTTTAATTTATCACATCCTTTGGGTAAAAATAATTCTGCATAGCAGTGGTATGTATGGCTATCCAAAATATTTTTAATAGATAAAGTTAACTTACTATGTCTATTAAAACAGATTTCCAAACTCTTTTTTTTTCTAACAAGCACATTTTTTAATTAGGGCACATTTTTAGTAGTAATTAAAACCAATTAAAACCATTAAAACCAATGACAGTGATCAAAGTAGGTAATCAGAGTAAACTGAGGAAAATATCATATTAAGCAACCCATTAGAATTCAAAGAAAAAGCAAACAAACTGCTCTGAGCCTGGGATAAATGACTGACCAGTTCAAAATTGGTTTTAATTTTGATTGTGATGGTTTGGTTGGTCTATAAAGCTTGCAAGCTTTATAGATCAACCACATAGTGAAGAAGAGTAAATCAACACCCAATCAAGATTACTTTTTGCACTTACAATCATCTGCACTATTAAACCTTTTTCCTTTGTCTTCATTAATGACATTGTCCCTGAAAAGTGGCAAATTTGTGAAAAAAAAGATGTAATTGACAGATTCTTCAGAAGATAAACCAAACAATTTCTGTTTTATAAAGATCATTACCTGAGAGTTATAACTTGTTTTGAACATGATAAAGCCTTGTCTAGTTCTTCCTGTTTCTTCTCTTCATAACTTTTTAGCCAAGTAAGAGCTCCACAAATCAAGCTCAAAGATTTCCCCTAGGAGTGTAGACAAAAGTCAGATGGGAGATAAACAGAATAAAAAATACAGTAATTTTTTAGCTCAATTCAACCATGTACACCCTAACATCAGTATGCATATTCTCTATACTGCTCTCTATACATTTCCAGATGTACTGACAAAGAGAATTTGTTTAAAATCAATAGGTTCTTCAGTTAATTATTATTTCTGTTATTCTCATGATATTGATATTTGATTCATGGGTGATATTGAAAGGAGAAATTAGATGCTGGTCACTCTCAGAGATTAAAGGGTTAACCAGTAGATTCCATGTTAAGTAGATGGCTGACAGTAAGGAGAATTACTCGTCAGATCTTGGGTGTAAGAGTTAGTCATAATCAAATAACACGCTCCCTTGAGCAACATATCATTTCAAAACCGGCTCTGATCTTAGCTCAAAGTATTTCATCTATTCCGATATCCATCTTTCACTCACCGTTCCTGTGGGACTTTCGAAAATTCCAACTCCTCCATTCTCAAGCACGTCATACAAAGTTTTCATAAAATCCTCCTGTATGTCATATGGCGGGAAAGGAAACGGGAAAAACACCGGCTTATCTGTAGCCGCAGATTCGCCCTGGGGCATCTGCGTTGATGCAACCTGATTAAAGTCACGAATATTGGGGCTTCTACTTGCAAGGAACTCGTCGATGAGAAGATTTTCCATAGCTAGATCTGCTATTTTACAGACTCTCAGTCTATCATGACATTGTGTTATGGTACCCAAACTTCGCGCGCTAATATTTTTTTGACAGCCTCGTTTTGATTTGAATTAAATATACCAGGGATGTGGGGGAGGGTACTATACGGCTTTCAACGGTTACTCCGTTATCTATATTCCTAAAAGATTCCATATTGCCGTGAGTCTTTTCAGTAAATAATAGACCAAAGGACCAAAATATCGTAAGAACATCAGTGACACACTCGGCCGCGCTTCTTGTGCCACTTTTTCGGTCTTACCACATTTTGAATCTCGTCTGTGATCTAGTCATGATTTTACCCACACCTCCCCCTGTCTAGAACGATTTGTTAGTTTACTACTGGATCAAATTCGCGTCTTTGCAAATTACTTTCGAAACTGAGTCCCGTGTTTATGAGTTCATACCTTATTTTAGTATGTTCTTCGCCATAACTTTAGAAAATGAGATGACTCTGAGAAGCATGTGAGCTATAAAAACTATCTATCGGGTATTTTTTGGTCTATCAATTCATTTACTTCCGAAGGGCAACGATGTGTATCCGCTGTGGCCTTGGAGTACTTCCATTTCTTTTAGCTGTGCTCTCAGCTATCACCTTCGTGATTACCTACATTATTTCCCGTGTACGCAACGACACTTCGTGGTTCCCAACTATCAGCGACACTGCGAGTCGCCGGCCAGAGAGCAACGTTTTCGGACTGCTGTTTAATTTTTGTTCTCTTCTTGCGCTCTTCACAACTTTTGTGCGGTATCTTCAGTTGAGACACGATGCTGATTGGAATGAGAGAGATAGGGCTCTTCTTATCAGGCTCAACAAATTGGCTGCGATGCTTGGTGTAGCTGCAAGTCTTGGTGGAAGCATAGTGGCCAATTTTCAGGTAATATTTAGCAAGATCAATGGATATGAGCATAATTTTAAAGCTGACGTTAGATGTAGGAAAATTATTTTTTAAAAAATCACAACGGTATATCTAACCAGACTTCTCGACCAAGGAATTCAAATTCAACGTCAAATATTAAACTGAAAGGCAGCATAGAAGTTAACATTCATGTGTCAGAACTATGCTTAGAAGCTTTTTCTTAAACAACCCAAGCTACATGCATATGTGTGCAATCGGTTATTATAAAGAACAGAGCGTACTAATTCCTGTGCGTGTTTCAGCAACTTATTGGCTAGCGTGTTTTCGCCTCTTTCAATTTTTTTTATTTAACGATACACACAAAACTAAATTTGTAAAGAATACTGGTGTTACTGCATTATTGATATATTTACAATAATAACATAACTCAACTTACTGATGTCACCTATAATGCTAACTAATTCACAATACAAACGTTTCCTATTGTTAATTTTTCGTTATATGTAGTATAATACACCGAATCGAAATTTAATTGCCATTGTTCTGGACTGACTAGCGTCTCACACATGTGATAATCCTTTTGTGTTTCAAGGTGATGAGGCTAGTTAGTCCAGAACAATGGCAATTTAAATTGGACACCATATTTTGATTTGCTGTATAGAAACAATTATAGTCAATCATTTTAACAAAATTTTTTAATTCTACGTTTTTGAAAAATTCCAGGTATACATTCCCACACTAATACTTTTACACTTACGTAGAGTAAAATTAAAATCACCGCCCTCATACTAAATGTACAAACCTTAACTAAATGTACAAACCTTAACTTGTTAGATCAGAAAAATATGAAATAATTCTGAATAATGAACACAAAATTAGCTTGAAGCAAGCTCACATTACTGTACTTAGGCTCTTCTCAAATATTACTAATTGTACCTTATACTTAGCTTGCTCTTCATAAATAGCTTTTCATAGAATGAAATATTGATATTAGTATGATGTCATTAACTGTACAAATAATAGTATAGTTTCATCATCTTTTATTTGCCTTATTTTCACAATACAAAAAATTTATTTACAGTGATTATAGCTAGAAGGGAAGGAGACCTAGGAAGCCACCAGGCTTATGGGAGTTTAACACTTTAACTCCCAAGATCTCGTCTGGGTTGTTCAAATCTGTGTACCCATGGAATTTGATTTCAGGTCTAAAAGCTTAAAAGAAAATTCAGTTAAAATCTTTTTGCCTGCAATTTGATCGTTGGATGTCCTAAAAAGAATAGGGAAAATTTTCTCTAAAAGGCTTTGGAAAAAAAGAAGTATAGAAACCTGCTTTAAAATTTAACCCTGGGCTTGCACTAATCGGCCTTTGAACAACTGGGTCCAGTTTGTTAATTCTCCTCTATAGCTGCTACTTATTTCCATGTAAATTAGTTATGAGAATTTGGTGTTAGATAAAGGTTACAATTTTAATCTGATAAAGTTGAGTATTCTCATTACCTGTTTGCTGGATTAAGTATGGATATTGTAGGGAGAAGTTCCCTTCGAATCACTTCTGGGAGTTAATTGGGTTAATTACATTCATACATAAACTTTCCAATAGCACACTAAAACTATGCCAAAACAAGAAACTCCCAATATCAAAGTCACTTTAAAGACTAAAATGTTTTGTTTCTTTCCAAACAGGAAGATGCTGTCTCATTTATCCACACTATCGGTGCACTCCTTATTTTTGTGGGAGGTATTTTGTATTGCTGGGTTCAATCTTTTATTTCTTACAAGATGAGCGCTTGTGGTGTGATCACACACAGTCTTTTTATCTTACGAGTGGCCATTGCTATTGCTGTTACAATCTTCTTCGCCATATGTGTTACAGCTACCTCGTATGCTGGTGTAAAAGGAGTTCGTTACAACCTGGACCCCTACAAAAAGATGCCACGCTGGACTACAGCAGACAAAAACTACATTTATCATGTCATTGGAGATGTTTCTGAATGGCTCACAGCATTAACTCTTTTGGGCTACTTGTTCACATATTTTGGAGAGTTCAGGTTTGTAAAGATGAAGATTGTGGTGTCAAGACAAACACAACATCCTGTACCTCTAGCAACTGGAATGGGTTCAGATGATAGTCTCCATGCCTCACTATATGTTTAATGGAAGTTTCAAGTTACTAATTGCTTGAAATGAAGGATTATGCTTGGAACGGACTTGATATGTTTGTTGATATATATACAAGTTACCAAATAGTGCTGTATTTCTGATACAAATTAATTAAACTATATTAGTATTTCTAGCTTTTGTAAATAATGTATCACACATCTGTTTATCTACTGCGGAAAATTTGATCGATCTATCTGTTTTTCCAGGAAATATCCATACTCCTCACATGAAAGGTTTCAGCACCCTTCCACCCCACCCCCCCCTCCAACATTCATTTAATGTTTACACCAATCCTCTGGCAGGGGGAGGGGTACGAGAGGAAATACTTCTTGGAATTGCAAAGTGCATGTTAAGTGTGTTAGTTTTTGAACCAAGTGATCAAACTTTGCAGTTTGATAGAAGAGGATAAATTTTTTTCTTCTACTCTTCTATTTCGTAGTTAATATCATGAAAAATGGTAGTGTTTGATTGCATCTGACTACAGATGAGAGAAAGATTTTCTCTTTTCAAGTGAGTTGAAATCTAGCAGCTGAGGATAAAAAATGGTTATGGTAAATAGTGAGTGCTAACTGCATAAATCTTCTGTAGTTTCGTGACTATCAGATCAGGAAACCTATTATTATAATTTTAAGAGCAACAGCACTCAGTCTTGTCCTATGAAGTTTACATCACTGCAACTTTTCTTGTAAATCTAAGGAATTCAGGAATGAAAAATGTGAAATTTATACATCTCCCTAAACCCCAAGAGTAAGCATAAAGTAACCTCTGTGTACAAATATGACTACATTGTCAAACAGAAAGTCATGGAAAGAAATAAGGGAATCTTGCCTGATTTATGATACAAATCTCAGAACTTAAGTTTTATGAATTGTGTGGGAGACAGCAAGGAGAATTTATATTAAAACCTTAAGGGTTTAGAATTTGAGGTAGCCCCAGAGGTCTTTGAAGACCAGAACTTCACATTCCATTCAAGAGAACTTTGTTAAAAGACTCTGCTTGCTGTCAAACGTTAATGATTTTAAATAAACAAATGGTTTTCCAAACATTTTTTGAGGCAAATCCAGTCAGTTGTGTCGACAAAAAGTGTATTTATTAACTTGTATATAGCATTGTTACTGTAAGTAAATACTGAGAAGGTTAAATACGAGCCAAAGGTTTTGCCTTTAACAGTTGACTGTGAAGACCATCGAAAATGTAAATATTAGTGAAAAGAAACTGAACCAATATATTCACCCTATCACGAAAGCTAAATTGTTTGAAACTGTTTCTGCACTCATGAATCTGTCTTCCTTGTTCACAACACATATTTTGAAAGTATCGACAAGAGAAACATTTAGCATTTGTGCGAATTTTGATCAAAGAGCAACCAATTTTGATTTAAGAGCATCTAGGTTTTAAGTTTTAACGACCCATTTGCGGTTGTAACATCTGAGGGTAACATCGCTTGTTCGACCTGACTGCTCCAGAAGAAAAGGAATCCAATCATTTGCTTCGAATTGACTTGAGTGAAGGGTCTTCCATATTATTATTCATTGCATAACTATCTAACTATTATCAATGAACTGTTGAAACAGCCGCTTCGTAAGGACTGATAACAACTTTTAAAAGACCTTTTCTTTACAAAGTTATTCCTTTGAGAAAATCTTTCAAGAAGACAATCTGTGACCATCAGTGTGATTCCTTTTCATATTTAACGTTCCTTTCCAAATGTTCAGCGATGCAATGCTAAGAGGGAAGGGTTGGCAGAATAAAATTTTTGCCCCATACAATTATGTAACAGAAAGCCCTTAATGAATTTGAATTAAGAAATATTTCATTTCAGTTCTAATCCGTGATACATGGATCCTTCAGGGTGTAAACAAGATTCTTTTCTAATTCCAAACTTCTGTGCTAGTTCGTTTACAATCTCATCCTCTCCACTGAGTTCCTCGGTCTCTTTCTTGACTTTGTTGTCTCCCAGATAGGTTGAAGTTGTCAGTTTGTTCCCTGAAAGGGTTAACCTTCCCCAAGGTTTTGCCAAGGTGCATATGCGATCGTGGGTAAACGGAGACTTAGGGTCTGTTTGATGATAAATAAGACTTTGATGGAAGTCTTCTATTTTCCTAGGAGTCAGGTCAAACCTGTACCTGATAGCCCATTCAGCTTCGGTGATAAATTTCTCCTTTGCTTTTTCTTCGTTACCAAACTCGTCAACAATGGTTTTCACTTTCTCTTCGTAGAAATATTGATCGCCGTCTTTCCTAATACGATACGTCCCACTTTGTTGTTCCTGTCCATCTGCAGAGCAGTCGATGAGGAGAGGAGTTAAAAATGAATCTCCAAAACCGACATCACTCAACCACATTGCATCTCCAATGTTTATGACGTTTATCAGGTGATCAGTCGATGATCCTATAAGCCCCGATTTGCGGCTGTAGACCGCAGCAGATTTTCTTCCGTAGCTGTACCCAAAATGATCGAGAAGTAACGAAAAACTCGAGTTAAGTTCAAAGCAATACCCGCCGCGATGTCTTCGAACGACTTTGTCGAACAACCAATCTTTGGAGAGAACTATTTCCTCCTTTCCGAACACACTTAAGTTCTCAAAGGGAACTGATAAAATATGACATTTTTGCAGGTCCTTAAGAATGTCAAGAGTTGGTTCTATTGGGCCTGTAAAGTGAATACGAGCTAAATATTCCTCTACTTCGTTTGCGGTCAAAGCATGAAACTCATCCGCCATTGTTACATGAGCCAAGTGTTGTGTGATCGAAGTGCGTGACTTCTTGCGCTTGTCAAATTCACGCTCTCACTCGAACGGGACAGCCAGTCGCTCCGAACTGGCAGCAGGCACTTATTAACTTACACGGAAGTGGAAGAATATTTTGTTCTTTAACTTGTGCAGAAGCATCATAATTTTTTTTTTTTTTTCATTGCTGAGTTTTAGCTTTAGCGCCCCCGTTTTAATGTCCTTCTGAGAGCCTTTGAAATATGATTCTTTTCTCGTCTTTTAATGAATTTTAACTTCTTCGAAAAACGGAGACCGCGAAATATCTTTGGTTAAGGTGTCTTGAAGATAAAATGGAGTTTCGGTTTGCACTTTGCGGTAAAATTAAAAACGCTTTACCGAAGCGCGTTCTCGAGGGAGTGTGTTGCGTGACAAGACTACAGTAACCGTGGCACCAACGCAGTTTATCTCCGCTTAAAATTGTTCAGACAACAGTGAAAACAGATCACAAAATACCAGTGTCTTAGTTTATTTCATATAAATTCGAATGATCTTTTTTACTCTCCATCGAATGGTACTTTTGTTGGAGACTTTGAAAGTAAATACCCTTTTTCTGTCACAAAATTTAATAAAACTCAAAGTTTCCTATCTCAAACCGCCCACCATTAAAAACAACTCTTGCATGCCTAGCATGCCTATGTTTTCAGAAGCCCTCCCCTTCTCTTGGCTTCCAATTTGTTTAAGTCCCAGCTATTTTAAAGATTACAACTCAACAACACGTAGAGCCGAAGCAGTGAATTTAATTGAATAATCAGTAGATAAAAGGGCGAGATAAATGATGGGCTCTCTTTTTTCGTCTTGGTTTATCAGAGCGTTGGAGCTCTTAGATGCTAAACTGGTATTGCTCAAGCGAATTTATCCACGGAACCATTAGATTGTGCTCGATAGAGTTCGATTCATTCGATCACCCAACTCTATGGATTGCGTTCGATTTCCGAACGTCCTCAGTTCAGTATGCTGGAAAAAAAAAATATATATATATATACATATATATGATAATGAATACGAGCTAAATATTCCTTAGCCTCTTCAGGATCAAACTGTTCCTGTACCATATTTCCTTGACGCTGTCCGATGCCAATATATGAACGTCTATTAGTAGGTGAAGTGCGCAAGAAGTCACGAATCCCGGTCACGCGATAATGATATTGGTATTGATAACGATGGCGCACGAATTGAAGCGTTTTGACGCAAACGAAGTCGATGTATCGTATTAGAAAAGACGGCGACCGGTATTTCTACGAAGAGAAAATAAAAACTATGGTTGAAGAGTTTGGTAACGAAGAAAAAGCAAAGGTGAATGTTACCACCGACAACGAATGGTCTCCAAGGTGTAGGTTCGAACTCATTCCTAGAGAAACACATGACTTTCATGAAATGTTACTTTTCCACCAAACAGATCCAGAATCCCCGTTTACCCACGATCGCCTTTGTACTATGGCAAAACCCTGGGGAAGGATAACTCTTTCAGGGAACAAACTGACAAAGTCGACTTATCTGGGAGACAACAAGATCAGAAAGGAAACAAAGGAACTTCTCGGTGGAGAAGAGAATGTAGTAAATGAACTTGAACAGTAGTTTGGAATAAGAAAGGAATCTTGTCTATACCCCGAAGGTTCCATGTACTGCGGATCAGATCAGAGCAAGAAAACATCGATTTAAAACATACTCTTTCCGTACGCTGTTCGTAGAAAGTCTCTTTCGTTTTTAAATTTAAATTACAATTTTCCTCTTTCTCTCCTCTCTTGTATCCTTTTAGTATTCACGCGCACCACACGTGATTTTACAAATTAGCTGATCACGTCAAAGAACTCAAACTTTGACAATAAAAACTGATGTGGACATTTTTCGCGTACATTTATTGTTTGTTTCAGTTGTTTTGAGCTTTCATTCGCGCAAATTTGTTACCCCTTTGTTTGGAGTTTTAAGAAAATTCTTTAGTTCTTGTCACGCGAATTCTAATTAAACAAAATAAAACGAGGTGATTAAGATCTTTTGGAAAAAGTAAAATCATTTTGGCCATTACGTCATTCATTCTAAGACTCTTTAACTGCAATTCGTCGTTTTGCTATGCTTAAGGGACTGGTCATTATTCATTGTCAGAGAGGTGTGAGGTGGGATGGATGTGAGAGGTC